CCGTCGTTTTATCTGTTACTGGTGACACCGTCGTTTATCTGTAACTGGTGACACTGTCGTTTCTTCTGTTAGTGGTGACACCGTCGTTTCTTCTGTTAGTGGTAACACCGTCGTTTCATCTGTTACTGGTGACACTGTCGTTTTTTCTGTTACTGGTGATACCGTCGTTTTATTTGTTACTGGTGATACCGTCGTTTTATTTGTTACTGGTGTCGTTTCCTCTGTTGGTAACGGCACCGTCATTTCGTTTGTTGTCTGCGACGCTGTAGTTTCGTTTGTCATTGGTGATACTGTCGTTTCCTCTGTTATTGGTGACACCTCCATTGTTCCTCCTACTATTACTGGTATCACGCTCCACCTTTCTATATTGTTTTCATCTACGAACAAATTAATAATTATATTTTAATGAAACAATTTGCACCTCTCATTTCGATTAATTGATATGACATATTGTCTCATCTTTCTTTCAATTAATTGATATTGTCGTATTCTCTTCACCACTTTTTAGAAATGGCAATGAGAATTGAATTGGATTTTTGCTATCGATTAGGTTCATTAATTTGAAGAGAAAAAATTTTGGAACAAAAAAATAATTGTCATTTTTTACCATTTTTTAGGATTCTTTCTGCATATCGATCAGCGCGTGTCACATAGAAGCTGTTAACAGTTTTTATTTTGCTGTCATATGTGACGCAATTGATAAATGTCATTGCTGAAATAAGGATGTTAAAATGAAAAATATCTTGTGCATATATTTATTCCAACTTTTATTTTTACATTTTAACTATTAGAATAATTTGAGTTTCATTAAGTAATAAAGGAGAAAGACTGAAATTTCTTGGAACAATCAATATATTTTATTAATTAACTCCTTCACTTCTCCTATCTTTTTATCTAATATTCAATGTTTTTTTTTTTTTTTTTTTGACTCTAACAGTAGCATATGACATAATTATTTAGTATAATTTACCTATCAGAAATGATATCAATGATAATTTATTTTTGCAAAATCAAAACAAAACCTGTAAGCAATATGACGACATGAAGAAGATGCGGTGACATTATGGAAAAATGAATTAATAATAATCGAAGAGGAGCTGATTATGAAATGATGATATCAATATTTCTTGCATTTGCGAATGCGACTAGAAGGAGGTGCTTAGCTTGTATTATTTCATTTGCCTTTTACTTTCAATTTTTTTTTTTGATTTTAACATATTACTGATAAGGATGCTATGTCTAGAATTCAGTCAATCTCTGAGATAGCGTAGATTGTGATAACGTTTACTACTTTCATATTTGTTCTGCCATTTTGAACACAGATAAGCTATCAGGGTTAAGGTGAAAAAACGTTTCTTTTTTTTTTCATTTATACATCAATTTTGGCTGGCAAAAAAAAAAAAAAAAATGCACCATTGATAATAGGAAAAATTGTTAAATTTGTTTGTTTTAATTTAAACGGAAATTATTTATTTTTATGAAATATTTTCTTGCCTTAAAAAAAAAAAGCCTTCTGAAATATTCGCTAACATTAAACTTTCAAATAGATCTCATTCTATTCTTATCTTTCTAGTTCATGCTTGATGTTATATTTTGTACTTTTTTCTTTTAGTCTCATCGTTTTAGTTTTTTTTTCTTTTTTTTTGTTTTTTTATTGTAACACAATGGGATATTGAAATATTTTTTTGCATATTTATTAACATTTTGCTAAAATTTCAATGTTTAGAAATTTATTGTTGTATATTTGTGACATTTGCATAGAAAACGATCACATTCAATTGGAATGATTTAGCTGCAATTGAATGAGTATTTTTCCTCTGCTTTTATGGCTAGCTTTGATTTGATTTCTGGCCAATTTCCCGTTTGAGCAGATTTTTGTTTTACTTGATTTCTAATTTTAGATTGGAAAAAATATTTGATGGTTAGCCTTAGCCTCGGTTCGATGTGTTAAACTCCTTACATCTTTTGAGCAATGAAAAGACTTTTTTGTTCAGTACAGAAAGACAAGCAGTTTTTTCATGTGGTATATCTTACTCACAAAGAGGGTGGCCAACAAGGATCTATTCCCTGTGCATATAGCTGGGATAATGGGAAGCAGAACTTTTGATAGGAATTCTGTAAATTTCTTCTTTATTGCTCTAAATTGATTTGCCATATAGCAATAACACCGTAATTCTTGCAAAAAATTGAACATTTTGTTGAATCAACGGGAGATGTACCGCAGTAAGTCAAATAAACTGCGGAAAGAAAGTTGGAATCACGAATAGCAGAAAAATTTTACGATTAATCAACCTCTACGTATCAATGTAATTTGCATTTGATGGAGAGAAAGGGAAATTTACTTCAGCAATAATAAAGTGTTGCTGACTCCATCATATTTGCGTTAATATTGGGTGAACGTAAGTTTGTGATTGGTGTCCAGAAAGTTAGACTGAGAATGACGGGGTGATACGGTTGCTGAGAATAAATTTTATAAGAGATTGAAGTGGGAAGAAATGAATGGTGAAAATTCCCAGAATCTTATCAACAGAAAATATCATATGTAATTCCCAGGATTTTATCAGCAAACAATATCATACGAAATTCCCAGAATTTTATCAGCAAACAATATCATACGAAATTATGGTTGGAAGTATGCAAACGTTTAAAATCCATTTTTTTTTTTGTGTTTAGCATTCTATCATTAAAGTAATAGCATAATCCGATGAACTATTTTCAACCATATTCTCCGATAGATTATCGCACACAAACATTACCAATGAACGGAGTTACCCCGGCACCGAAACCGATGGATGTGAGCTTTACTCGTGAAATTTCGCCCTGTTACTGATAATACTTCGGCTACTTTCTCAATTAAATGTTTCTCGATCTTTGGAGACCACAGATCTTGTACGCAACGGTCAAAATAAAGTAATAAAATCTTTCCTTACAAAAAGTGCGGGAATCTCAGTGAATTGATATATTCTAGTAGGAATGCTTCCTTCACTCAGTGTTTTACTTCTAGTCGCATATCCAAAAAAGAAAAGAAAAACATTCCACTTTTACAGGCACCATAACAAATCATTAAAGTATGAAATGGCGTTCACAACTTGGACGATTTCAATGTAAATTTTGTCTGATTTCGAAGGATATCACAAATTCCACCCTTCTGCTACTTAATTACAAACAAAAACTAAAAAAAGCAAACAACGATTGATATCAACTGATACATATCTGAATATCTTTACCTATGAAGTGAAAAATGTTTAAACTATAGAAATTTATATTTTTTCATATTATCGAACTTCACATTTTTTTGTAATTTTAACTTCAGTGTTCCAATCTGGCAAACAAATCCTCAATTTAAAAATTGAAACTACCTACTATCGAATTTAAAATACTTATGGCCCCAAATTCTTCTCTCCTAAAAGAATTCTATCGTAATACATCTAAAATAATAAAGTAAATGTGTCAATATATTTAAAATAATAAAGTAAATCCATTTGATATATCTAAAATGATAAGCAAATCCATTTAATATATCTAAAATGATAAGTAAATCCATTTGATATATCTAAAATGATAAGTAAATCCATTTAATATATCTAAAATGATAAGTAAATCATTTGATATATTTAAAATGATAAGTAAATCCATTTGATATATTTAAAATGATAAGTAAATCCATTTG